AGGCTGCATATTTGATTTTTCTTTCAGATAAAATGTCTCACCCAGAATGTACGAGAGAAAAGCTTCCTGGTCAAAGAATCACTAAAACCTGTGAATATTTGACAAGAGACAGGAGTGAGCAAAGGGAGCTCCAAACATCATCAATGTGTCGTTTTCTGTGAATATACAACGCTGGTTACTCATTTCAGAATCGTCCTTTACATTTTTTGTCTTTATTTTTTCGAACAGAGAAAAGGCGACGCCACCGTGCCGTCCTTTGTGAACCGCATCCCGAGCACTGACACTCCGCCCACCTTGTTAAGAACCAACAAGTTCACATCTGGCTTTCAGAGCATTGTGGAGGCGTATGGGATGGGGGACTATCGCGAGGTAAGCCCAGGTAAGAACTCCCACTGTGTCATGCAAAGAATAAACTATCTTTTTGTTTGCTTTGGAGAAGGTCAGAGTACATTGAAGCTGTTGTCTCTTTAATTGGCAGCTCCCTACACCATCATCACATTCCCCTTTCTGTTTGCTGTGATGTTTGGCGACCTCGGCCACGGGATGATAATGAGTCTCTTCGCCTTGTGGATGGTGCTGACGGAGAAAAAGCAGAAGAAGAAACGGTCCGATAATGAGGTGGGAATGAGCCGTTCCCTTTGGTTGTTCCCCTCATCCATAATGAAGAGACTTATGAGTGTAAATTAGTTTTGGCTGATAGTTGTGTCTCTGTTGATCTCAGATATGGACGACGTTCTTCAGTGGCCGCTACATCATCCTGATGATGGGGCTTTTCTCTATCTACACCGGGCTGATTTACAATGACTGTTTCTCCAAGTCGCTCAATATATTTGGCTCTGGCTGGAGCGTCAAGGCCATGTTTACAAATCAGCAGTGGACGTGAGTTAGCAGTAAAATACTCTCACAAACACTTTTTATATTTATTTTTTCTGTAAATATGTGTTTTAATACATTTTTCTATTTAATACATATCTTTTTTTTATGTGGCAGGAATAAAACCCTCCAAACAAATGCTTTGCTCACGTTAGACCCCAACATCAGCGGTGTTTTCAGTGGGCCGTACCCATTCGGCATCGATCCTGTGAGTAAATGCACTCAGACATTACTGTCAGAATGGAACCGACTAATTTTCTTGTCATTTTCACTGAGATGCTTTTTAATATCAGATATGGAGCATGGCGGTGAACCGGCTGTCCTTCCTCAACTCCTACAAGATGAAGATGTCCGTTATTATCGGGGTAATCCACATGAGCTTTGGAGTGGTGCTGAGTGTCTTCAATCACTTGTGAGTGGCTCGAGATATAAGTCCCTGGCAGCAACCTTACATCACTTTTATTAATGTACATCCATCGGTGTCCATCAGCATGTGAACGTGTGTATATATATATATATATATAGGTATATTAGTGCTGGGCAACGATTACAATTTTTAATCGCATGATTTTTTTGCGATTAACCATTTATTGCTTAAAAACAATGTATTGTTTTGATAGGCATTCAGAGGTCCAATCATTAAAGCCACTCGCTCATCACTTTCTTTATTCCCATACTTTGTTCTCTCCCTTCAGGCACTTCCGACAGAAATTTAATGTCTATCTGCTGTTTCTTCCTGAGCTGCTCTTCCTCCTCTGTCTCTTTGGCTACCTGGTCTTCATGATTCTCTACAAGTGGTTGGCATTCGGTGTACGAGACTCCAGCGCGGCTCCCAGCATCCTGATCCACTTCATTAACATGTTTGTCATGCAGGGGAAGGATATCACTCCTCTCTACCCAGGACAGGTGTGTGTTTGACGACGTTTATCTGAAACACGATCAGCTCCGGATGCATTTTCATCCTCGTTAACTCATTTTCTCATTTTCTTGATTCCCCAGACTGGGCTGCAAGTTTTCTTAATCGTGATAGCTATGCTGTCAGTACCTGTGATGCTGTTAGGAAAACCTCTTTACTTGTACTGGCTGTACCGTGGAGGCAAAGGCCTGCGCAGACGCAGAGTACGTGAGATCAGACATATTTTAAATATATTTTATATGTTTTTTTGGTTATTTGTCAATAAGATCAACGTTGTTGTCTCACCTCAGGGCTATGAGAGAGTGAGGCGTGTAAGTGAGGATGACAATTCCACAGCACCGGCATATGATGATGATGATGAAGAGGAGGGACTTGATGAAATGCCAAGCAGAGAAGCTCTTCCCAAAGAGGTCAGAGATCCACCAGTACCTAAATGACCTGACATTAATGATGCGCTGTATTTGCACATTAGAATATATTAATATTTAGTGCTTTGCGAGGCTGCATTTACTGAGTAGTGGTTGTGGTCATTGTACTGTTGCCGTGTGTGTGCTGATTTTTGTCACGTCGCTGGTTTTGCAACAACTTGCTTATAAGCCTGCAGTTGTGTGCTAATATGTGTCTCACTTATAGAGCTAATTTATTATCATGTGAACACCTGCATTGTCTTTTTATAAATTTCAGAATACTGTTTTTAAATCAGTCTGAATAAAGTGTAATATCTAATATATATTTTGTGACCTGTTTTGCAGTTTGACTTTGCGGATGTGCTCCTGTACCAGGCCATTCACACCATAGAGTACTGCCTGGGCTGCATCTCCAACACTGCGTCGTACCTGCGTCTCTGGGCTCTCAGCCTGGCTCACGCCCGTAAGTGCGGGCACAACGACTGCTTTGCATTTCTTCACCTTTTAGATATGAATTCATTTTTGTGTGTCTTTGTGCATCCTTATGTTCGTATTGCTTTTCAGAGCTGTCAGAGGTGTTGTGGGGCATGGTGATGCGCCTGGGTCTGAGGATCACCACCAGAGTGGGGGTGGTGTTTTTAGTCCCCGTGTTCGGCCTCTTCGCCGTGCTCACCGTGTCCATCCTGCTCGTCATGGAAGGCCTGTCGGCGTTCCTCCACGCTCTCCGACTTCACTGGTGAGTCTCATTTTACCAGCCGGTCTGAATGATCACATCACAGTTTAGTTCAGGAGTATGATATTAATACTGGGATATGAGACTTGGCATTGTACAGATTGAAACCAGCCGATTATTTTCTCGATGAATTGATAAATGTCTTTCCTACTCTGTAAGGCAGTGATTAAGGCTGTTCTAGTCTTTAAAGTGACATTATTAAGACTGAGACATTGAGTTAAAAATGTGTTGATATTTGATTTTTGTTTTTTCAGCGTGACTCAGCTCTGCTTTATTCAATTTCCTGTTTGCGTTCACCTTCCTTGTCCTTTATTAAAGAGCCTCTAATCGCTCACTTGAACACTTGATTTCCAGGGTGGAGTTTCAGAACAAATTCTACCACGGGACCGGTGTCAAGTTTGTGCCCTTCCACTTCTCCCTCCTGCCCTCCGTTTTTGAACAAGATGGCTTGCTTTAAAAAAAAAAAAAAAAAAGTGACTCTCTGAGGTGTTGCATATGAGTGGAAGCAGACTTTAGAATTGGGAAGGTGTGCTGGAAGCTGGAACAATTCACACTGTGATGACGACAACAAACCTTGAAGACAATGGACTGAAACTCCCTCTCGTAGCAATGTTTTTCACCATGACAATTTTTAAAATGCGCTGACTGCCTTACTACTGTACCCAGCAAGCCTCTGAATAAACAGAGCTTCGAAAATCCCTCTTCTATTAATACTTTAATTTTGTGGGCGGGACATCACTCAAAACTAATTGCCACACCAGTGGGGTGAGTTTAAATATTTTATTTGCATTGTGCTGTGTGAACTGGTTTTGTATTAATTACGTATTTAAAATAAACAGTTATACAGTGCAATGTAAAGGTCCAACATTATCCAAGACCATATCAAGCATCCTGGTGTAGTGCCATAGAGATATATTTCTGATGATGATATGGGGATGCGTTTGGGTCTTTTTAAAATCTTCTTCCAGACGGCGAGAGAAAAATACAAACTTTCAACCCTTTTTTGTGAGGCATATGGTCACAAAGCACTTTGCAAAATGATTGTACAATGAAAAGTTTTCACTCATGACTGTGATGATGCCAAATGAAAATAATCTTCAACTGTTAGCTGTTTGCTTATTTGATTATTACTGCATTTATTTAAGCATAACCTCCCCTGTAATCGATAGAAAAATGTCAAATACTCCAGAAGAAGTGAAGAAGCCCTAGGCCTTTCTTTGATGATACTGCTTGTTGCGTTTGTTAATGATAATTAATGGTATTTATTTAAATTATTGTCTGTATAAGAGTCCAATATTTTACCATTTTGATGTGTTGAATAAAGGTTTCAAGAAATACAAGTAAAGCATTTATGTTCTTGTGTTTTTAACTCCTTCATCATAATAATCATCGGTCCGTCACTCTACACTTACAGGCTGTTCTGCCAGAATGGGAAATCTCAATTTTCCAGAGTTCTGGAAAAAACCTTAAAATAGATAACTAGTCCATAAAACTAGTGTAAAAGTAGCTGTTTTTTTTTTTAAATGTGAAATGTAAGCCATCTTTGGAGGTGCCCTCTGGTGGCTTTAACCTCACAGTGCAACTGAGTGCCAGAGGAGCAGCATACTGTATAATGAAAGAATTTTATTCTAATTTAAATCTAAAACTTTACTTTAGTTATAAATGTCCGTGTTGAATCTTAGACTATCTGATTATAATCTATGAACCACTGATGAATTAAGTCTTTTGAAATCGGAATTTTCCAACTGTTTCAATTGGAAAATTCGACCTCTTAGTTGCTTTTTTTTTCTAAATAAAAAAAAAATAAAAAAAATGCAAATCATTTTTTGTCATGGTCTATTGTTGACATGAATATCAAACTCTTTTTCTGAGGCAGTATTCATCCTCCAACTCTCTCCTGTCCTGCAAGGATGTAGGAAACAGCAATGTCATGTGCGCAAACACACACACACACACACACACACAGACTTGCACCCATATGCTACAATCCTGTAATAAGGACGTCATCATGATCTCTCTCTTCCTCTCCCTCTCTCTCTCTCTCTCTCTCTCTCTCTCTCTCTCTCTCCCATCTACAGGCTTTACTATTACACGCAGTCAAATTGCAGGCTCAACCGTTATATAATTTCATGTAATAATGTGGCTGTCATCTGATTTTAGCTGAAGCCTCGTAGATATTCCTCAAACTATCTCAGGACACTGACACAGCTTCACCAAACAGCTGCAAGCTAACGGTAGCTTTAGCGGAGGATACAGTGCGGTGCAGCTAACAGCTGTACAGCTGTTGACAGGCGGCCACCGCACCGACACGGAAACAACCGACTCTCCGTGCATCCCTGCAGAGGGTAACGTAACCGGCCGAGAGGAGCAAATGAACGAGCTGGTGAAGAGTCTGCCCTCCCCGACTCTCCCGGGGCTCCAGCTGCCGTACTTGAACACCGGTAACCACAAAGGCTGGCTCTATAAATGGACCAACTACCTGAAGGGTTACCAGCGGCGGTGGTTCGTCCTCAGTAACGGCCTGCTGTCCTACTACAGGTAACGATTGTATTATAACTAGAAAATATAACTTTAATATAGATTCTCAGTCTGACACTCTGTAGGACACTAGTGGTTATCATATACAAAAGTTTAGAATCATAATTAAATGATTTGTTGCAAATGGGATTTAGAAATGCAAAATATAACTTTTTAACGCCCGAGGAGGGATTGTTCTGAATGATGCAAGTTAAGCAACCACACAGATGTTCACCATAAGATGACAAAATGCTGATTTATGAGTTGTGAATAATAAGTATGGTAATTGAACAGCTGACCTACTGTGTCCTTCAGTATTTTAACCTATTTAATGTGGTTTTCATCAAAGCTATAGAGCTTTAAATGATATGTAGGTAACAAACTACATGACTACATGATAACCTATAGCGTAATACCAATGACAAATACTAGAGGGAGAGGAGACGACTAAATAAAGGAGTCAACGAGTAGTGACTCATCTGTTCTGTATAATACATTTTGAATATGGCTGTTATCCCAAATGTATAGTTTAGAGATAGCATGTGCGTTTTGCATGTTAGATGTCATATAAACCATAACAGAATGCTGAACTACCTTGTAAAAGCTGTCACTATAATAATATATGGAATCTTTTATGAAAGCGACCATAATCACGTACGATTAAAGATCAACATGTTAAGCTGTACATATTGGAGAAATGTAGGCTGCACTTTGTCCAAAGCATGACAGGAGAGAAACGTCTTCACAGACTTATTGGGATGCTCTGCTATTTCAACAACTACTTTGAAATCTAACAAAAACTGAGCTGCCCCATTTTGCTCATCTTTTCTCCGACTCTTTTTTGTTTGTTTCCCTCAGGACTCAGGCAGAGATGGCGCACACCTGCCGGGGCACCATTCCCTTGGCCACAGCACACATCGAGGTGGGGGACACCTGTCACCTGGTGTTAACCAGTGGAGGCCGAAGCTACCACCTGAAGGCCACCTCTGAGGGAGAGTGTCAGCGATGGGTCTCAGCCCTGCAGCAAGCCAGGGCCAATTCCACTCTGCTGATGCACCACTCAGGTTAGATGGATATCTTATATTCTGGGTAGTATGACCCATGTGAGTGTCAGTGTTCATTTTGGGTGTCCAGCTCCACTAATGTGTGGTGAATGTTCACACACAGTACTGTCCAGAGGCAAAGAAATGTGACTTCTAAAGATGGGCAAACTAGCCTGTTTTTTTTTTTTTTTAAATAGATTTGTTGTTCCTTTTAAGAAGTAACTTGCAGAATGTCCCGAATATGTACTTGTACTAAACATGGTTCACCTTTTAAAGTCCAATGTAGACAAACCAATGTATCTGTTACCTGAACAGCTCATGCAACCAAGACCCAGTTACCTAAATGCATATTTCTTTTAATTTTTAATATTTATTTATTATGTAAACAACAAGCCACAAGAGGGCAGTGTTGTTCCATGTGTCCACAGTCATTAACCTTCTTATATAAAGTCTATGGCGTTAACGCCAATATTTGCATTTAATCATGTCATTTTAAATGACTTTGCCTTATAATATTCACTTTTTACCTCCGGACACTATCACACAATATGGTATGATATATTTGTATCGACATCTGACTGTTATTTGTTAAAAAGAGAAAAAACAAAGGAGCACCAGGATGTACAGTGGATTTTTTTCCTCTCTCTTTCTCTCCCTCTCTTCCGCACAAATGTGCACAAACGCACATGCAGCTGCCACCTCCCCTCCCACCCCGTCTCCTTCCTCCCTCCTTGTCTCCTTCAGTATGACGACAGTGGGAGCTGAATGAAATGACCTTCCTTTAGACTCCACCTCCCGTTCTGGTTGCAGGAGGGGTAAAAAAAGAGAGAGAGAGGGTGTGAGGATTTGCATTGAAAATATTTTTCACCATGCACTGTGGACAATAGGGAGACACGAGTGTAGCCTTTTTCAATGAGAGTCACCTTGTAAGTAACCTTTTAATTATTTTACTGAGACCAGAATACTAATTAGGAAAGAAGCTATGAGCTTGCACGCTTGCTTCCTTGCTTGCATGTGTGGGTTTGTAACTGATGCAGTGAGTGTCTGTTTGCGGAGTTCATTAAGTTGGGCTGTATTTCGTTTAAATGTCTGTGTAAATAAGCCAATTGGATTTCTCACAGGACAGAATTTGCCCTAAAGTTGACAGAATGACACCGTAATTATCAAAGTCACTGCAGAACAACAGAGCAGTATTTCATTTCATTTATCGGTCTCTTTCAAATGTGTGATCTTTCTCCGGATTATTACTGTAAATACAGCTGCTAACTGATTCATTCCTAAGAGGAGTGTGCCTTTAAGCAGCCTTTACTGCTGAGTAAAAGCTTTGCACCTGCAAGATACAAATCAATGTTTTACGTTTGTCTGCCCACATTAGCATACGGAAACCATGACTGATGTGTGAGGTGTTTATGCTGTTGTGACTGCTTCACCCAATTGTGAGCAGAATAACCCATGTCTTTTGATGCACGTGTAAGCGCACACAAAGATCCTTGTGTGCGCATGAGCCTTTGGTTGAGTGGCCATAACAGCAGGGCAAATGAATTGGCTAGAATTGGATTAGAACAGCAGTAATTAAGTGGATGTTGCGAAAGTGATCTGGCACCTCACTTGTAAAAGCTATCACATAACCACTACACAAATACATACAAGGAACATATACAATTCAAACCTCTCTGACAACCATTTACTCCCGGGGTGAAAGTTTAACAAATATCAGTGTGAATCCAAATAACTGCGTTGAGGGGGAAATAGTGTAGCTCAGGTTGTGCTACAGCAAGTTTTCAGGATATTACAGTCAGACTTTGATTGCTTCATCTATATTGCAGAAGCTTACAGTGCATCCTCTGATATTTAACGCCGATTCTCTCTTCCTACACTGTGTCCATATTGGCGCTCCATCTATCACCTGTGGGTGTGTTTTCATGATTCAATGATGAATCACCAATTTGCCTCAGTGTCCTGCTTGAAAAATAACCCATGAGTACACAGAGCAGACCAGTAAGCCTCTCGCCTACATGTATGTTATTATTATATTATATTATTGTTATTCCATGGATGGGTTTTATGGCTGTAAGAAGAGGTGCACTTCCAGATTCTTTGCTCACTTCTTAATATGGGTCATGAAACCATTACAGATGCCTGAAGGAGAAAGTCCCCTCCTCCTGAGACGTTGTAATTCCAGTTTATTTGATTTCTTTCCCCCTCTAATAGAGTCGTAGTAGTTTGTCTCCTGGCTTTGGGAATCACTCGCAATGCAGACTCTGGCCTAGATTCAGTCAACGTGCTCGGGAGTTTTTTAGATGACACACACGTTTTGTTTCTTTCAGCAGAGAAGAAATGTTTTGACCTAGAAAAGTTCCATTTCCATACGACTGAGGCAGTCATTTGCATATTAAAGATGGATTTATCTGTGTTGACATTTATAACTGACTAGAGCATGAAACCAGACAATATCTAAATTTGTACTAATGACAGTAGAACTTTTTGGGTGTCTCGAATCTTTTAAACAATGTCTTTTTTCGCTGAGAGGCTTTAATAGAGCACATCTTGCTCTTTTACCCTCTCCAACCCACATACTCTTAACAGGTCCATTATTACAAGCGCTACTCAAAGCGTCAGCATGTCTTTAAAGGTCTTTTTGAAATCCCAAGGTCTAGTACCGAATGGTTCATGGCATTTACAGTTTCTATTTGATGTCACTGCAGCCACAAAAAGGTACATAATAGTGATTTAGCTTCAATGACCAAGTTGAACCAAGTAGATATAATATAAATATAAATTATAAGCTAGAAAAAAGGCAGTCTCCCTGCTCTGCTTCTAAAATCCCTGAGACTGATGGCTCAGCTCATGGCAAAGAGGGGCAGAGAGAGAGAGAGAGAGAGAGGAGGAGAGAGAGAGAGGAGGGGAGGAGAGAGAGAGAGGGTAGTGCGTCATCGTTTGTTCTACCTTTTCTTCTAAAAATAGCTGAGCCTCCTGATTGCACGGGCCTATGTTTCCAGGGCAACGGTGTTCATTCACAGCTTTCCCATCTTGTAGAGGAAGAGGTGTGTGTGTGTGGGGGGGGGGATTAGGGTGTGAAGTGTTATTATCCTCCTCCGTCCATTCCCCACAAACATTAAGTATTAAAATAGATTTTCCAGATGTCTGATGAGACATGTACTGTTTACAGTGTACAAATACACCACCATGAACACCCAATCTTTCCAGACGTAAGACCCTCTGACGATATCATCTTTGGTAAAGTATGACATTTATGCGCTGCCTTTCTTCTTCTTTTGTCCTTGTGTGAAGATGACTCAGGAGATGAAGGCCCTGTACCTCAGGAGGACCGAGCCCTAACCCAAGGGGTGCTCAAGGCTCTGGCCAGCAAGCTAGATGACCTGAGCACCTGTAATGAGCTGATAGGAAAGCACGGCGCCGCCCTCCAGCGCTCCCTCAGCGAACTCGAGGAACTGCGCGGATCCACTGACGGCACGGACAGAGTGAAAGCTGTTAACGAGCGAGCCACCCTTTTCCGCATCACCTCCAATGCTATGATCAATGTGAGTTTTGCTTGATGCTATAGCCGGTAAACTGGAGACTGATCCGTTTGTCCCTTTTTAATGAGGAGATGCTGCTTGGAGGGCTCCGTCTGCTTCTTTTGACGTGTGTTTGTGTTCACACCTCAGGCTTGTCGTGACTTTCTGGACGTAGCAGAATCTCACAGCCGAAGGTGGCAAAAGACCCTGCAGTATGAGCGAGAGCAGCGTCACCATCTGGAGGAGACCATCGAACAGCTAGCCAAACAGCACAACAGTTTAGAGAGAGCTTGGAGGGAGAACCCCACGTCATATACAGGTGAGAGGCATCACTCTCTTTAGTATATCTCTTTATAGTCTCACAGAATAAGAACATGGCCCTCTTCTGGCCAGTAGTAAAGATGCATATCTATCACATAAATGGGGCTAAGTCAGACTTATCATTTCTTAATTGTTTGTGTATTTATTTATATGGAAAGTAAAAAGAAATGCCAAATATTTAAACTCCCAGTTTAGTGAAAAGTATGTTTGTCTTTTGATCAGATTGTCATATATATCTTATTAAATGTCTTCCAATTAGTGTGGTTGAGGGTCTTTATGTGACAACTGCTTCTCTTTGTTGGCACCGTTTGTTTTTTTGTTCGGCACACATTATCATAGTTTTTTATACGTTCTTTAAGCTACATTACACAACTAAAACGGTTGCAACTTAGTTGTAATAAATTCAGCATCTGCTGTAAATCACAGTTACAAAGGCCAACACACAACTGACTTAGTTGTCACTGATATATTTTTTGTTTTCATGGCAACATAAGCTGTTGCATCCCTTGCAAACAATTATAGACTGATAATTAAGTTTTTTTTTGCTATTATGTATTATAGTATGGTGTCCCTGTTATTTGGCCACCCCTTGTAAAGCAGCACTGTAATATGCTGCTGATACATGTATATTTAAAACATTCAGATAACTGTCCCGTGTTTGTTGCCGTAGGTGTGGAGCGTTCTCAGGAGGGGGACGCGAGTGATGACAATGACGAGGCAGAGTTCTTCGATGCGATGGAGGACTCCCCTGCATTCATAACCGTGACCGCTAGTGGCAACATACAGCACAAGTGAGACATCATCTCCATACAAACTAACCTCAGAGCTGTGCTGTCGATCAGCCACGAGCACCGTTACTTTGAGCTGTATTTAAAATGATGCTGCTTTCTCTCAGGCGCTCGGGGAGTAATCAGAGTATGATGAGCGGAGGAATGTCCAATGACTGGACTCACAATGAGAATGTAGGTCCCAAGCATGATCAGTTGTCTCACCAGTTGTTTCTAAACACACCCATATGCACTTACATTAAAAAAAAATGTATTAAAAATGTTGTCCTATTTTTTTCAGGACACCTCAGGCACAAACCACATGCAGCTACGAAGAACAAGACGCAGTCGTATCCCTGACAAGCCAAATTACTCCCTTAACCTGTGGAGCATCATGAAGAACTGTATTGGCAAAGACCTGTCCAAGATACCCATGCCTGTAAATGAAAAAAAAAACATACAGTACAAATTGGCTGTAACATAGTTTTTGAATTCGAGTGACTTACAAGAAAACCTTTTTCTGTCTGTGTGTGATTGCAGGTAAACTTCAACGAGCCATTGTCGATGCTGCAGCGTCTGACGGAGGATCTGGAGTACAGCGAGCTTCTGGACCGGGCCTCTCGCTGTCACTCCTCTCTGGAGCAGATGTGCCTGGTGGCTGCCTTTTCTGTGTCCTCCTACTCCACCACAGTGCATCGCACAGCCAAGCCCTTCAACCCTCTGCTGGGGGAGACTTACGAGCTGGACCGGCTGGAGGAGTATGGTTATCGCTCTATCTCTGAGCAGGTGAGACAAACATTTATCCTTACAGGTATATTTTACACACACACACACACACACAGATAAAATTAACCCGTAGTGAAGGATGTCCGTATTGCCTCTGCTCACACCAGCTGATACCATTCGCCATCAGGTCAGTCATCACCCGCCAGCTGCTGCCCACCATGTGACGTCGCAGCGAGGATGGACCCTGTGGCAGCATATCGCCATTGATAGCAAGTTTCGTGGGAAATATATTTCTGTCTTGCCATTAGGTAAGAAACAAGTAAAGTGATGCGTTTATGCTGACAATCAGTATAATAAATACCTCTACACATATGACCTGTGAATACGCACAGCATATTTGTGAGAACACAAATAATTAACCGTATTCAAGTAATGTAAAACTGTGATTTTTTTGTTTTGATGTTTGTGTGTCTTCCTTCTCTTCACTGCAGGAAACATTCACCTGGAGTTCCACTCAAGCGGAAACCACTACGTGTGGAGCAAAGTGACTTCAACGGTGCACAACATTATTGTGGGGAAACTTTGGATTGATCAGGTGTGCTCCTTTTTAACTGTCAAAGCCACAACCTTGAAACTTATACTCTTGAACTCTTGAAAAACTTATAGTATAGAATTTACAGTTTACTCCAAAAAAACAGAGGCAATTACTGTGTGTGTGTGTGTGTGTGTGTGTGTGTGTGTGTGTGT